CCTCCCTGCGGCTCCCGGCGACGGCAGCGGGTGAGTGGCGGGGCCGGAGCCTCCCTTCCCGCTTCCTTCTCACGCTCCCTTTTCCTCCTTTTCTCGAGCTCCCCTTCCCGTGTGAGAGGCGAGGGGCGTGCGGTGACAGCGCGGGGGTAACTCGCTCTGCTCGGCCGTGCCGGGTCCCCTGCTCGCCGGGTGGATTCCCAGCCAAGAGAGGGAAGTTTAGGTCGCTTCAGTGCTTGGCGTGTAGAGTATGTGGCAATGTGAACTTAATAGTTAGGCAAGATCATTTTTACAAGTACCTGGAATCACTTTTCCCACTTGCTGACCCCTTACTCAGCCATCACTGGCTTTGCTCTTGAGGATTCAGCAGAGTGGTTTAGATTCCTTATTTAAAATTATCTAAATACTGCTGTTTAAATTCACAGTGTATAAATCTATAAGTGGGAGAGAACATATGTTAAAAGAACAGCTTTAAGAAAGCTAGTGAAATTATAACTGCAAATATTAAAATTATTAGCTTGGCAAATTATTAATGATACTGCAAACTTTTAGTTACATGAGTCATATCTCCTGCTCAGCTAAATAAAATCTGAAAGCTCATAGAGTTTATTTGTTCCATGAACTAACATAACTGAAATTCCTAAATCATGTTGTCTTGCCATCTTAATACGCTGTTTGCAGAGGTGGTAACCCAGGCAGTATGGGCTGTTGTGAAGTGGTATGTTGGTTTGTTAATATCTGCTTGAATGTTTATCGTTAGGGTGCGTTAGGAGTTTGGGTGAGGTTGTGTCAAACTTGCATGTAAAGTTATGGATCTTTTTGTAAGTGAATTTGAATTCTGAAAATCAAATTCTATGTATATGTTTTTGTGTTTTACCCCTTGCATAAATCATAAGGGCCTGGAGGTAAAACTGTATCACTCTGACTTATTTTAACATAATAAAAATGAATAAATAAGGGATTTTTGTTGTCGTTGAAAGGAAGAGTTGGTCATGCAGGCAGATGCTAAATTTTATCTCTGTTTACTTATCCGATCCATGCAGAATTCTGGTTCCTTGAGCATTAGAGACGGTACCTGTGCTCACAGCTCCAAGGCCCTTCCAGATAGTGCCCAAGTCCAGAAGCTCTTTCCATAGCTTTTATTCTGGACTATGTTGCCAGCACCTCTTGAGACTGCATTTGACACTTTCTGCCGGCTCTCTTTGTGGTACCCTGTTCCATGTTTTAATCTGGGCGCCCTGATTAGCTTAAGATGCTCCACATCTAGAGGTTTCGTCCTGTTGATGCTGTTTGTTTACAGCATAGATCTGGTGCTTGCAGTTACTACCCTTGGATCCTTTGTAGCCAAGAAGTGTTTTGTGCAACTGTAGCACGGTCACCTGCTAAGTCGCGTGTGGCTAAACTTCCACAGTATTGGTGTGCATTAATGGTAGCTGCCATCTTTCACAGAAGAGAGATGCACCAGGTTATGTTTTATATTGCAGTAGTTCTTTGGGTTCACTACGAATGGAAATAAGGATTGGCCTCTTTAGGACGCTTGAGTAGTTTGTCTCGGGATGAGTTTTGCTCTCGGCAGATCTGCAGTGGCACCTGCCCTCTCAGGCGCTGCATGCACGGACCTGCAATAACAAGCTGCATGACTGGGATATCTTGGCAGGATGAGTAGAAAGCTGAGCATGGCTTTAAGATCAACCCAAAACCCAAAGCCACTTGCCCACTACATATATTGGAGGGGAATTTAAAGAAAGATGAATCCATTTTATTGAGGGCACTGATAGAAGGATGAAAAACTCCCAAAGACCTATGATGCTACCAAACCAGGATGCCCCTAAAATAATGTTTTTGACTGCCCCTAAAATAATGATTGGCTTAAAGCTCATTTATTTGTTTCTTTCCTTCATTTTAAATAAATAAACACTCCTCAAACCACACATTCTAGCACTCTGAGGTGAGCGTTTCATGTATGAGTTTAGAAAGTACTGAAGTTCTATTTTTTTTTTATTCCACACAAATGTGGGGGCTCTATCCTTTTAATACTGAATGCTTTGGTTAACCTATAATGATAGGTCTCCAGGCTACAAGGATTCATAAAATGCTGTGATGCTCCTAATGAACAGATCAGGCTATGATGGACATGTACAAAGAACACATGGTGCCTCAGTAACTTTGTTAAAATTTATTTTAATTTTTAGATAACAATGAATGTGGAACATGAAGTTAACCTCCTAGTTGAGGAGATTCGACGTTTGGGAACCAAAAGTAAGTATTGTAATAAAGTATTATAATATCTCTGACCATACAAATGTAGTCATGTTATATCAACTTTTGAACTTGCCAAGTGTAATTAAACAGGCTCTCTTATCCTGAAAAAATGTATATGCAGTTAAGGTTGGACTGTTGCTACATAGTACTCTCCAGAATTCATTGTCTAAAATACTCCCATTAAGAAGTTAAACATTGAAGCCTCTGCAGCCTGGGAGAAGTTGTCCTGAAATCTTACTCCCACTAAAATCAACTGCAAAATTACCTTTTTATTTAGACTTCAAAGGTACTAGCTACAGCCATTGAAGGAAAGAGTTACACTTTTACCTTCCACTTCATTGATAACTACTGAACTACCATGTTCATACACATCTGTTCCATTCATCGTGGTAGTATTTGGAGGGAATTGAATTGCACGCTTACAACTCTAATCCAGGAGTTATAGTGCCAATCTTCCCCTGTCCATGATTAAAATATAGACTTTCCTCTTAAGAATGTTTTTCAGTGTTAAAAATCTACTTTGTTTGCAAATATTTATTCAGTTTGTTGGTGTGGGACCTGTTCATATATATATATATATATATGTATGTATGGAATTGCATCAGAACTGAAAAATATATCAGTTTCTGTTTATTTTTCAAAATTTAACTGCCATTCACATCTTGCATTTCATATGACTGTGTGTATCTTTTTTTAAGAATAATCTAGCTAATCTTAGCATACACTTTCAAATTCTCACTTTGTGTGAGAGAAATGCACTCACTTTTTCAATATGGACCTTAAGTATTCATAACCCTAAGAACTTGTGCTTTGAAGACATTCAATAGTCCGGGTTGGTCATAGGTTTCAGAAGTCATTAGTAAAAATTAATGCACGAGGTACATGGTCCTTCATACAGGCCGCTGGAGTGAGGAGAAAAGAAAGGAGGGAATTTTGCCTATTGTTTGTCATGAACATTCAGAGCATCTTCCTCCATGCTGCTCTTTGTTATAAAGACAAACATCATGGAAGTGAAGTATCAGGTTGATGGCAATTGGTGAACACCATGGAGTTTACTTTCAGCATTTTGAGCGTTTCACTTATGTTCCTGCAGTAATCTACTAACTGAAAAACAACCTGCCTGTGTTTGCATTATTTCATCTTTAATTTAGATGCTGATGGGCAAGTGAGTGTGAAATTTGGTGTGCTCTTTGCTGATGAGAAGTGTGCCAACCTATTTGAAGCTCTAGTGGGAACTCTTAAGGCTGCAAAACGACGAAAGGTTGTCTCTTACCAAGGGGAGCTACTTTTACAAGGCGTTCATGACAACGTTGATATCGTGCTGCTGCAGGACTGAACCAGTATGCATTTCTGCTGTGCATTAATTGAATTGTTTCAGGCGGTGACTTAGAACATCCTCTGAATCCTCTGATTCTAATACATTTTGATGTATTTTCTATGTCTTTCTAGCCAAAAGAAAGCCATCTTATTTTGGAAAACATTCCCTTTTGTAATTCTTCAAACAGTACTGTACACAATTAAGGTGAAAGATGACAGATGTTTTTTAATCTCAGGTAATACTCATAAAGGAATTTGATGGTTATTTTCAACACATGAAGAAGAGGACTGATAATTTAATGTTTACAAATTAAAATGTGCCATGAAATTGTAAAATAAAAGCACATACTTAAATTTGTATTGCTGTTTTTTCCTTATTTGCAAACTGAAATGAAAATAAATTGAATTTCAGTAAGCAACATGGTTAAATGACTGTACAGAAAATGTGCTGGGAAGTTAGAAATAATTTTGCAGCATGATGCAATCAGAGAATGTCCATCTTTTATTATGGGCAGCAAAAACAAAGAACACTGAGATGTGCAAGCGGGCTTGCTTCAGAGCAGTTTTATAAGAGCAAACTGAGTGCCACATGTTTAACAAAGCAGAGACTAGTAATAATTTGCTTCTCTGTGGCAATCACAGTTTTATTTCCCACACTGCTGAATTCCCTCAGCGGAATTTACTATAACCTCGAGCCCTTCCCACCTCTGTTGCATGTTCCTCCCGTTAGTGGGAGGTTTCCGCATTTTTTGCAGCTCAATAAAAGCAGCAGGAGTGAGGAGTGCACTTTCAGGCAGCTGTAGAGCTTCTCCAGCTTGTCTCCTGGCTCAGGATGATGAGAAAGCAAAGAATACATAAATGCATAGTAACTGTGTGCTTGTTTTTGGTCTAGAATTACTTTCCAAACTTGCTGCCTTTAATAATAGTTTTCACTGCTGTCTCTTTCTCATGAAACTACCGGACAAATATATGCCTGCTTCTATGACACAAAGTGTTTAATGACCAGATTGTGCACAGGAAGCTACAGATGATAGATGTGCTTTTTTTTTTCCTTCTGGATGTATGAAGGAAATGGCCAAGCAGTTCCCTCAGTGCTTTTGTGCAAAGTTATCCAGAAGCAGTACAGCAACTTCAGATTGGGGTTATTGCTTTCACGGAAATCATATCGTCTCTTAATCGCCTAAGGCATAAAGTGGGAGGAGAAAGGGGAGGAAAAAAAAAGCCTTTTAGATTGTTTTCTAACCTACTCCTGGTTAGTCTTAGTAGCATGAAGTATTCTCTCTATAAGGAAGAAAGTTGTTTTTTTGGGGAGAGCCATAGTGGGTCTAAGCAAACTTGCCTGCTGCTCTGTGCTTCTAGTCTTCACTTGCAAATTCATCAACTTTGAAAAATAGTAAAATGGATAAATTTTCCTCTACTTAACCTTTCACAGGTGCAGAATGGTTTAAAGATGCTGCTTTATTTTCAGATAGGAAATGTGCAACTGTGGGATCTCTACGAAGCTGTGTAGTTCCAGCTGCTGCCCCCTTAATCTTTGTTTGCCCTGCTTTGTGCAGCAAGAGAAAGGCTTAGAGCGAGCAGGCCGGGGCTGCCCGTGTCTGTGCTGGCCCCAGGCCTGGGCAGCAGGGAAGGGGCACGGGGGGAAGCCCCAGCTCTCTGCGTAGAGCCCGGCTCCAGCTCAGCGGCCGAGCAGGCCCTCAGCAGGGTTTGCTGGCTCCCCGGCAGCCTTGCTCCAGGGCTGCTCTTCTCCTTCCAGACCTGAGCGGGCAAGTGCCTGATCCACTGTACCTCACAGGTGGGACTGAGGCCAGATGTTTTGCATTTGGGGTGAAAGCAGAGAGTTTTGTGTCCAGATGACCACAGTTATTTCTTCCTCTGCCTCTGTTGTACAGAAGGCCTGAGTCATTGCCTGGCTTCCCCGCACAGCCTGAGTGTGCCGAGAGGCCGAGCGCTTTGTGGTGTTTTGGGATGTGTGGGCTGTGGTAGGGCAGGGTGCCAGCCTGCCCCCCAGAGGACGTGCCCCTCTCTGGGCATGGTCACCACCAGCTCCTTAAGTGCTGAAGGAGCTTCAGGTTTGAAAACTAGGTGCTGGTAAACTCAAGTCTCAGTGCCAGCTGGAGCTGAGAAGGGAGTATGAAGAGACCTTTACGTCTCATTTTGAATTTATCCTCTTAGCAATGCTAATAAATGTATCCATAGCTTCTGGGAACACTGTGTAGCAAGAAAGAGAGAAACTTGGCACTAAAGCAAATGTGTGACGACCACGGGAGACTCTGGCTGTGTATTGCACCAGGGAATTAAGATTGATTTTGTTTGCTCTGTTTCTGGAAGCAGAAGAGGAACGATATACCCAGAACAGTGTACAGCCAAAGACTTGTACTAAGCGTATAACTTGTCCTGTGGCCCCTGAGTTGTAAAGGTTTCGTTAGGCTCCATGCTAGCTCTCATGACCTGATTTCTAAATTTGTCACAGGGAAAATCAAACGCTAACAGTATTTCACGTGTGTGGGACCATGCTTCCGTGTCGTCGCGCTAGAGGAAGTCATTACCACAGCTAATGGCTGAGGCACAAGATGTGGTTCCTGGAGCACTTGACACAGTACTGAAAAAGCTAATTGCAGGAAAGACATTACCTATTTCTGGGAGCATTAGGACAGTTAGCAATCCACTGTGGTGGGTTTTTGACCCTCTCAGTCATGAGAAAAATGAGTAGGTCAGCCAGGAACAACAGTGATTCCAAAAGCGCAAGTTATTCCTGACTGCAGTAAAATAGGAAGATATAAAGGTATGGTCTTTGACAACAGTATCAAAGACTGGTCAACAGAGGAGTTACCTCCATATCCCAGTGCTGGGAAATTAGTTAATTCAGTCTCTTGCTTACCTCAGATCTTGGAGCATGGTGGAACCCAGGAGCAGGTTTGATGAGCCTGGTAAATGTGGCTGGTGCAGTTTAAGCTGTTACCGCTGTATGTCTTCAGCAGGGAGATGTTATTTTTGCTCATTTCCTGCCTCCCCTTCAGTCCTCTCCTGGAGGTGCTTTCTGCTTCAAGGGACTTCTCTGGGCAACAGCAATGCCCTCCTGCAGTTTGTATCCATGTAAAGCTGGTTGCCTTTACTCAGATTCTTTGTCATCAAAAAAAAAAAATGAATGGAAGAAAAAAAAAGTAAGAGTGACAGGAAATTCTCACATACTGATTATGTTGCAGCTAATATAGTAGTTTTACTTAAAAACAGCTGAATATTTCAGAGACAGAAGTAGAGATTCTCTTCTACTCCAGCAGCACAAAGTGGCTGCTAAGCAAGTTTGAACTGTTGCAGAGCCAACACAGCATGAACCCATGAATGCCACAGGACTGGCCTTATGGCTTGGTGTCAAATTATACAAAAAATTATCAATATCTTTGAATAAACCCCACCTGCTATAAAAGACCACTCACGAAGATTTAGTCTGCACAGTGCAGCATAATTCACATTTGGTATTGCCTGAAAATCCTCTGTCTGACAATTGTGAGACAGGGATCATGGTTTCAGGGATTTTAAACACAAACGAAGAACACTTTCCACCCCACACACCCAAACTCACGCATTTCTTTTGGAAGCAAATACAGTAACATTTACAAAAGCATCATGTCCTTCTCAAGCATGTGTGGGACTTCTGCTCTGTAATGCACCTTTATGTGATGCATAAGAAGGCAATTGATCCTGAACTCACAATACAAAGGCGGGAACACAATATGAACAAAGTAATTTGAAGGAAAATGAACTCCTAGACTAAAAATATGTTTAGTGCTCTGAGAGCTGTGTGGAACAACTTGTGATCTGCTCAGGTTGAAGAATATGAATTTGATGAGCCAATAACATTTCTAAGCCTAAATACCTCTTGCTACAAAATTTAGTATGACATACTTTGTTTTGCACCACAAATGACAACAGAATATGCGAAAAGTACTGGGGTTTTTTCTTTCTTTATTTATTTTCTGCTTCCCTACAGACCAGTCAAGCTTTTTTTTTTTTTTTTTTTTTTTAGGAAACAGGCCATTAAGCTTGTTAAGGATGCGCCCGCCCCCTTTCATGCATGCTAATATGTATCACAAAAAAGGGAAGGACAAAAGTTATTAAGTGCTATCAAATAGGTGTAGACAGGATCAAAATATGTTGATGCTACCCATGACAATGAAAAACAAAGGTCTGCATTTGCTCAGTGAACAAATACCATAGCAACTTAGATCTCCTGAAGATTTGATCTTAAAAGTAAGATATTTTCAACATTTTGATTACATTCTCAAATAAAATCAATGGCAGATTGAAGAGAAGCTCCAGAAAAATTATTTCAAATACCCCTATTTCAATATTTCTAAGCATTCCTCTAAAAAGAAAAGTATGAGTTAGTTAAGGATCACTACCCAGTGGTATTTTTTAGAAAGCCAGTGTATTTAAGATCCAGTTACATAAAGTACTTTTGGGGAATTGTTCTAATAAAGCTTTCCTGAGGGTGGCAGTTCAGTTTAGTTCTACCGTTCTGAGTACAGTTTTAGTCACAAACACAATATAGCAGCATATTAAAGCAGCTGAAGATAATCTCCGTGCAGGTATGTTGATTAAAGCTCCAGAAGAAGCAGTACCTTACGGCGTAGCATAGGCGTCATTGCAGATTATGCTTATCTATGCCAAAGCACATAAGTGGTTCTGAGAGGTTAAATACCAGGCTGGTACCCGGAGAGGGAGTACTGTAATCTACAAACATGCTCCAGTATCTCCTCAGATGAAATTCAGATCAAACTTTCTTTTTATGAAATTCTTAGAGTCAGACCTGAACATTTTCCAGCACAGCGTTTTCACAAATATAGCAGCATTATATTCATGTTCTTGCCGCTTATTCTGGCACAAACACGACAATTTGAGTGACACTGAAAGACCATTTTGCTGTCCTTAAAGCTGTTTGTCCAGAGAAAACAACAATATGTACCACATATTTATGTATGCATATAATGCATCCATGTCGATACAACATGTACCCACAACCTGACAATTTTCCCAGTGAGGAAATGCTCGGTGAATGACGTGTTTGAATAGGAATGTAGTGAGCTGCATTTAGCAGTCCTTTGTAAGTCTACTAAATGCCACAAAAAATCCCTTAGGAAGAACTGAGTGTTCATACCTTGCAGATTTAGGCCTTATGCGAAGCTTTGATGAAAGTTGATAGGTAAGTACCTGGTCTT